AAGGTTGATTCCAAAACACAATTCACTAAACTTTATCCCCTAATGAACTGGTAGAATGGAGAGCTACTTTAGCACAATTTATGGACAACCCCGTGATCTCTGTGATAACGGTAGTAAAATAGTATAGTTTTGGAACGTAATTTAACTCAAACCTTCCGTATTTATAGCCATAGTTAGAGTGATGCACAGGCAACTTTAAATATTCTAACTTTAGTGGGAGATTCTTTGTTTATTATTTTGTTGTATCTACTTAATATTTATGTTTGACTTTATTTTTTGCAACAGAAGGGATAAGGCCGATGTTTTTTTGTAATAGAGTATTTTCAGTATCAAAAAGTGAAATTGGTATAAGAGTCTTGTTTTTTTTTTTTAAATAGGTGTAATATTTTTCGTTATTATACTATTCACGATATCCATGTTTAAAGATTTTTATTTCTTTAATTCTTGTTATATCAATTTATAACTGTTAATCTTAATCCATATCTGTTTTTTTTATTTTGATAAATATAAGAAAAATGAAGAAGATGACTTTTTTATGTTTGTGAGATTAATTTTATATTTTTTTTTTCTATACTATTGTGAATGCTAACAAGGATATGGCTCGTCTGGTAGTAATCAAGATTACTGTAGTTTGTGTATACCTGTAATACTAAGGATGTCACGCGCACGTTGCTAACCCTTAAGAAACCTTTATACACCCTTTTTGAGAACCCCATGCTGTAGTCTCTAGGAAAAACTTCGGCAGGAACATCATTCTACGATCTGAGTGTTCGCGGAAAGAAGCTCCTTTGAAACCGCACTGTGCATAACCATTTTGATTCTAGTATGTGAGGATAGATTCCTCACATCCTAGAACCAGGATTATCATGGTGTAAAATGGCTATAGTGTGCATGTTAAAGAGTTCTTCAGAACGTGTTATACAGATGATTTGTTAGTTCAAATTAGAGAACAAAATTCATACACACATCTAAGCTTATCTACTGTATAAATTATTAAATCATTAATTCTGTAGCCTTCGTGCAAAGGCTTTTATTTATTATCCAATGCAGTGCAAATGTCACAGATATCCATTCCACGTGTTGTTTGTTCTCCGTCATCAGCCGGGGCCTGTGTTTAACTTCCATTAATAACGCCTAATGACTCATATAACAAAGGATTTTCCATCACAAGATTGTTTAGGTTTTATAACGAAATTCCTTTCCAACAAAAGATAAATAACAAGAAAATTAAAAGTTAGATAACGTCTTGTGTATAGTTTTAATATAAAGCTTTGTGTTAAAATTGACACGAATAAATACGTAAACGTTTTTGTAGACAGCGATAGATTAGATTAATTTTCGAATTGAAAGCCGAGGAAAAAGTATCTAAAATTGTGAAATTGCAAAATTGTTTTGAAAGTTTATAAAGATATTTAATTTTATAAAAAATTTTCATCCAAATCGATGAAAAAAATATAAGAAAAAAAAAAGGAAAAGACAAAAGCGATTTATATAAACATACACCAAGAAACAATAAAAAGAATAAATAAATAGTTTTGTCATTTTGATGTAACTGCATTATCTACTCTACAAGAAGGTAGACAATAATAATAGGTAATATCAAAATTATAAACAGCGAATCTGAATTTCTTGGTATGTAATATTAAGGATTATAGTGAAGGAAATGTCACTGACGGCTTGGTGACCGGTCTCAAAATCCTTTATCCTTCCGTCACTCCTTCCCCTTGCAAACATACGTAAGTACAATATGTAATGGAATGGATATAACCATCCGGAACCAACAATAGTATTCATGGAAATAAACAACTTTATCCAAAGGTCGCTATCTGTATCTCTGTTCAAGTCAGCCCCTCTAGACATGTGACAAACGATTTTGTCGCTAAATACGAGTACGTTTGTGTTAGCGTACGCATGACAGAGAACAATGGCGAATATTGTTCTCTCGTTCTATTTCATGTATAAGGTAATCAAAACGTAACTCTAGTATGATTGACGTTTATCTATTAAGGCAGGTTCCATACAGTATAGAGTAAAAGAAAGTAGTGTCAAAGGCTTCTATGTTTCTATCTTAATCTCTAATCGTCTAATCCTATTAAATGGATTTTTAGTGACTTCGTCTAAGATATTTGTATTGTTTAGTCAGTTAAATTGGTTTTTTAAATATCTACGTCAAAAGATATTACGGATAAATTAGGAAGTTGACTGATAATCAACTTTAAAATAACAGTACTTCTAATTTTATTACGTGTACAATATTTTTTTCGTTAAACAGCTTCATAAGCTATAAAACAGAAATAAATTCTCGCGTGTATTTTAAGGAATACGATGATAAAGCAGAAAAGAGCTTACATAAATGATGATGACTAGCGACTTGTGAACGCAATCCCGCTGTATTGGATAGGTACACGATCACTAACCGGGAGGAATTGTTTTCGTCGACATATAATGAGCTCTCAAAGGCTTTTTTACATACTACAATTTAGAAACCGTTTACAATTTATAGTATCTGTAACATTTAAAAGAAGTTCTTCAACATTTTACATATATCTTTGAAATAAGGTTATCGATGTAAAATATAAAACAAGTAGGATCTTTAATATTGGATTAGATCCGCCTTTTATACAAGATCCTCATTTAGCCAATTATTATATAAATAATATTCCGTTAATGTTAGGACGAAATAAAATTCGAAAATATTAATAAGAAATAAAACAAAAGTACAGACGACGAATTATGGCAACGCTGAGGTTTCATCTATTATTACATAATTTTTTCCTGAGTCGGCTTTGTGAATAATAATGTAGGCCGGATTAAACTCAGAGAGCCGCGACGTCTCGCCACCGCGACTGTTTGATCGCAAATAATAATATTTTATTCGCGCTCCCATGAAATGGCTTTTCTTTGATTAGATTCCCAATACTTTTCTTATAGCTTCCGATTCCGATCTGGTCCACTATCAATAGTTATGCAAGTTTTTTGCCTATCTCGTCCATTTGCACAAATAGTTCCATATTTTACGCTGTATTTTTCTGTTCTACCCGAAAATTTAAATTGCAGATAGTCTTTCTATCTCAAAGTCATTTTTGAAGCAGTTGATTTTGAGAGTCGGGTTTGATAGGCAAAGTAAGGTTATAGAGCTGATCCATTCGTATGTAGATTGAAACACTCGGGAAGATGGTTCGGTCGTCGTGGCATATCTTTAGAGCTAGTTCCCGATGTAATACCGTAATGATATGGGTACGGTTGCGTACCTGCGGCGATGTAGCATACGATCGCGATCTGATACCCTTCTAAGTGCGTATCTATTCAAACCAAACTCCCAACAAATATTGGCCTATGTTGATATTTCATGTTATACTAAATTGCAAATATGTACTCCAATTAATTGACTGCCTACGTAACGTTAAATAAATATTTCAATAATGACGCATAATCATATTTCTCGTGTAAACAAATTAACGAACAAATATAATCAGAAATATCATCGCAGGCGGGACGTAATTATTCCGTTTTGAATTCACGCTAATTTGAATATATGCTTGACGAAATAATGGTAATTTGATAGAGATAAGATTATAATGAAGTGAAAAACAGTGTTAGTAAAGTTTTTATGACTAAAATTTAAGAATGAAGCTTTAGGTGACTGATAAAACGAAGACAACTCGTCGAGGACATTTCGTTATCAAGGATTCACGCACTCGTGGCTTAACCAATCCGGTATAATTTCGCAAAGTTGTTCCGACAACACATTCAAACACGTAACTCCTGTTTCCGCATCTTATCATTTTGGAGCGACCCTCCAAACAATAGCTGTACTGAAACATTGTCATCCGTTAACTGTGAGATCACAAGATTGTTTAACGTCGGTCCAAAATCATAAAAGAATACATCATTGTGATTATCAAGCTAATAGCATACAACTACAGTTCTAAATGTAGATATTGCATCTGTTCTGGCCAATCTTAAATGACAGGATCTTACAAATGTAATGTATAATACATTCGGGAAGTCCTCGTGCCGTGCGGTCGGGACCTTCGAGTCCCATTCAGAGTTGTCTGTTCGTGACATAAGGAGACTATTTGTCTTCCGCCCCCGGTTCGCGCAAAAACGACCTTCCTTTTTTCCATCTCAACTTTTGCTAAGAACCAAAACCAATTTACTCCAAGCGAAAACAATTCAAAGAGTTGTTTATGCCGAACAAACGCGAATTATTATGAGAGAGACACCACAAATACCGAGTTAATTAGAAAGTAAGTTGAAAACGCTGAGCGGAAGCGTTTTGAGCGAAGATGCATCGCGTTTCTAAGTTACCATAACAAAGTTGCCGCATGTATTACGCTCCTTTATAATTGTAAATTTGATTTTTAAAATACAGCACAAGTAACAAACAATTACTCTCCCGGGGCTTACCTCGTGTAATCTACTCGCATATTATTTACATTTGTAAAGTCTTCTCTGATGGCTCTAGAGGGAAAGCCTTCATTACTATGAATATAATGTAATATATTACAAGTTGAAAATATTATTATAGTAAATTAAGATTAATTGCAGCGAGTTTAATTTATGGATCTTGTTATTGGATTAAACTAGCTGGGCTCGTTAAATAATTACCATTCAAATCGCAGTCACTGTAGGTTTATTGTAAAACAAACAAATAATACTAGTCCATCTCGTGTTTTTATTTTTTTAAACATAGGACACTATTTACCTACTTGACTTAATCAATTTTAAAATCATTGGGATCATTGTTATCAGTTTTTTTTTATACCACTGAGGTGGCAAACAAGCATACGGCCCACCTGATGGTAAGTGGTTACCGTAGCCTATGAACACCTGCAATATCAGAGGTATTACGCGTGCGTTGCCGACCCTGAAGAAACCTCTTTACCCCCCTTTTGTTGAAACTGTAAATTTTTGAGCAGTCTTATTATTGGTATTTGTCGTAGTAAGCGTTCTTTGCAAACTGTGATGAGTTTTGAACGTAAAATTTCCGTTGGCAGCCAAGCGTCGCGTGATGGCGCATGGAGTGCGCGCGGACGGCGTGGTGCGCGGCGCTGGTGCTCGCGTCCCTGGCGGCCGCCGGCCCACGCTACAGCTCACGCATCGTGCACACGCACGCAGGTAACCAAATAAGCACAGGTTTCTTGAATAATAAAAGACATTTTCGATTAATACCCAATATAAATGAGAGAATATATTATAAGCTTTTTGGAACTGCTTTAATTTTGTTAATTCGCTAACTTTAAGAGGTTTGCCTCTTAAGATTTATTTATGTATTTATTGATTTATTCCAACAACTTCTTGTATCTTTTTATTTTTGTATTGAGTCATACATCGTGATAAAAGGAAGTATAAGTTACCTATTATCTAAGGAAAAAAGACAAATTCAGCGATATTAGAAAGCATGGTACACAAACAATCTCTAAATATTTTGTGAGACAAAATATCTACTCAAATAAAACACAAAAGATATTTGACTTACCTGAAAAAGGGAAAACCATTTCATCTATATTGCCTTCAAGTCGAGCCTGTGAGCTGTCTCATTAAATTATCCGTTGAAAATATGACGGGTTTCGATTAAACGACTGACTTAATCTGTCAGTTTTTTTTCTCTCTGACAGTAAAACACGTGCCAAACCACAATCCAGGTAAGTACGTAGGTACGTGAACCCGATGGGCGTACTTAATTCCGCAAGGATCCCGGACAATCCAATCAGACCGGGCCTAAGGGAAGCCATCCCGGAACATCGCGACCGAATGACATCGTTTCATTTTGTAAACTCCCAATGGGAATGGGGATGAAATTAATTATTGTTTGGATCCTTTTAGAGGAGAAATAGGTTGGAAGGTAAGCTTTCAAATACAGATGCATAATCAAATAGTAGAGACCTCGGTAGGGCTATGAAATTTATTGAATTAAAAGCTTAAATTAAGCCTAATCACTTTCACAGGTAATGGACCATAAATATTATATTTTCTTCTTACATTTTACTCCGAATTATTATAATAAATTTGAAATTATTATTTGAGATTATATTTAAACCGATTGTTATATTAAGGGATCCTTTCTACAGTAAATTGTGTTAAATATTATTTAAAATATATATTTTTGAAACGGTGTTGATGGCAACTTTACTCAATGTTTTCCTTTATTATTTTGTATTATTATTTATTTTGTTATTGTTAGTTTACGCAAATAAATGAAAGAAACAAAAATCCTTTGCAGTTTAGGATACTGTCAATATGAGTTCGAATCTTTTAAATTCGAATCCTTTAAAGATAATTGAGTAACAAACACAATGATATTTACAATTACCAGCCATTTAATGTTTGCTTGAGTACCTCTGTCCCATTCGTGTTTCAACCGTAAAGCAGTTGTGTCTGCATGGCTGTGTTTCGGTTTGACGGGTGGGATATGGCGTGAATTTACAAGGTACAGAGGAATAACATCCGAGTCCTCAGGAATGGCAACACATAGGAGATATCATGGGCGAAACACTATACTCTGTTATGTCCATGGTACTGCTCATGTCTATAGGCGACGGTTACCACTTTCCATCAGGTGGGTCGTCAGCTTGTTCTAAGTAGCCATTCTAGGTAGTATAAAAAAAAAGTTACCACGCTTGTCAGCCATAGTTAGCCATTGGTGATGCTGTAAGAGAGACATTACTGTCAATCCTTCGACCAATAAATTCCCCTAGTGGTCTCTTCCGACACACATGGGAATGGAAAGGGTATCCCAATATGTGTTGGGACCACACGAAGTAATATTAGTAGGAAAATTTTTAATATGAAAATAATTCTGTTATAAGGCTTTCAAGCTCGTCTAGTAATCGCTATTTCTTGGCTTCCGGATTAAAACGTATAATTTTCCAGCAGTCGCGTGGTGTCTGGTAATATTGCGTGTATGTAGAACTATGAATGGTTAATTTATAATTCTCTTGAGCTACCCGTTTTGGTAACGGTTTATAGAAACTTTATTATTTATTCAAATTTATTTGATTAGTCTACTAATTACGTAGCGAACCAATGTTAATGAAGGTTATAGTATTTACGAGTATTTATATAAAGACTTGTAGTATTGCTGAAGTGTATAATTAATGTAACATTATTGATTTTGTATATATATATATATATATATATATATATATATATATATATATATATATATATATATATATTTTTTTTTTTTTTTTTTTGGAAAACGTACAGTTGAATTACAGTCAATACATAATCAAATTTATATCTATGTTAAGCCATGAATCGTTTTCACATTTGCGTAATAATATAGTTTTTCGGTTTTTAAACGGTTTTATTTAGCTCGACCTGTACGGTATTTATTTATTTGGGTCAAAATTAGAAATTGGAATTTAAGCACCTTCCCGTTGTCAGATTGATCTGAAATTTGGTACACACATTTAATTTAGATGACAATACAATATAATAAAATCAATAACATTATAAATCTAAGATGGCCGCCGATACAAAATGGCGGATTATATATTTTTCCTTAACCCCCGCAATATGGGTATCAAATGAAAGGGCTACACTAGTAAAACACGATGATTATGTCAAAATTTAAAATTCAAGATGGACGCCGTTCCAATATGGCGGACTAGGTACATATTTTTCCACAACCACCACAATATGGGTATCAAATAATAGGACTACACTGAGACACCCAGACACTAGACACTCGGACACTAGACACTCAGACGCTAGACCCTCAGACACTAGACACTCAGACACTCAGACCCTAGACACACAGACACTAGACACTCGGATACAAGACACTCGGACACTAGACACTCAGACACTAGACACTCGACACTCGACACTCGACACTCAGACACTAAACACCAGACACAAGACACTCAGACACTCGACACTCGACACTCAGACACTAGACACTAGACACTCGTCACTAGACACTCGACACTCGACACTCGACACTCAACACTCGACACTCGACACTCGACACTCGACACTCAGACACTAAACACTAGACACTAGACACTAGACACTCAGACACTCGACACTCAGACACTAGACACTCGACACTCGACACTCGACACTCGACACTCAGATACTAAACACTAGACACTAGACACTCAGACATCCAGACACTAGACACTCAGACACTGGACACTCGGATACAAGACACTCAGACACTAGACTCTCAGACACTTGACACTCAGACACCCAGACACTAGACACTCTGACACTCAACACTCGACACTCAGACACTCGACACTCGACGTCACTCGACACTCGACACTCGACACTCGACACTCGACATTCGACACCCGACACCCGACACTTGACACTCGACACTCAGACACTAAACACTAGACACTAGACACTCAGACACTCGACACTCAGACACTAGACACTCGACACTCGACACTCGACACTCAAATACTAAACACTAGACACTAGACACTCCGACACTCGGATATAAGACACTCAGACACTAGACTCTCAGACACTTGACACTCAGACACCCAGACACTAGACACTCAGACACTAGACACTCAGACACTAGACACTCGAAACTCGACACTCGACACTTGACACTCGACACTCGACACTAGACACTCAGACGCTAGGCCCTCAGACACTAGACAATCAGACACTCAGACCCTAGACACACAGACACTAGACACTCGGATACAAGACACTCAGACACTAGACACTCGGACACTAGACACTCAGACACTAGACACTCAGACACTAGACACTCGACACAAGACACTCAGACACTCGACACTCGACGTCACTCGACACTCGACACTCGACACTCGACACTCGACACTCGACACTCGACACTCGACACCCGACACTCGACACTCGACACTCGACACTCGACAATCAGACACTAAACACTAGACACTAGACACTAGACACTCAGACACTCGACACTCAGACACTAGACACTCGACACTCGACACTCAAATACTAAACACTAGACACTAGACACTCCGACACTCGGATATAAGACACTCAGACACTAGACTCTCAGACACTTGACACTCAGACACCTAGACACTAGACACTCAGACACTAGAGACTCAGACACTAGACAGTCGAAACTCGACACTCGACACTTGACACTCGACACTCGACACTCGACACTCGACACTCGACACTCGACACTCGACACTCGACACTCGACACTAGACACTAGACACTAGACACTCAGACATCCAGACACTAGACACTCAGACACTGGACACTCGGATACAAGACACTCAGACACTAGACTCTCAGACACTTGACACTCAGACACCCAGACACTAGACACTCTGACACTCGACACTCGACACTCGATACTCGACACTCGACACTCGACACTTGACACTCGACACTCGACACTCGACACTCGACACTCGACACTCGACACTCGACACTCGACACTCGACACTCAGACACTAGACACTAGACACTCAGACACTCGACACTAGACACTCAGACACTCAGACACTCAGACACTAGACACTCAGACACTAGACACTCAGACACTAGACACTCAGACACTAGACACTCAGACACTAGACACTCAGACACTAGACACTCGACACTCATCACTCGACACTTGACACTCGACACTCGACACTCGACACTCGACACTCGACACTCGACACTTAGACACTAGACACTCAGACACCCAGACACTAGACACTCAGACACTAGACCCTCGGATACAAGACACTCAGACACTAGACTCTCAGACACTTGACACTTAGACACCCAGACACTTAGACACTAGACACTCAGATACCCAGACACTAGACACTCAGACACTAGACACTCAGACACTAGACACTCAGACACTAGACACTCAGACACTAGACACTAGACACTAGACACTAGACACTCGACACTCGACACTCGACACTCGACACTCAGACACTAAACACTAGACACTAGACACTAGACACTCAGACACTCGACACTCAGACACTAGACACTCGACACTCGACACTCGACACTCGACACTCAGATACTAAACACTAGACACTAGACACTCAGACACTGGACACTCGGATACAAGACACTCAGACACTAGACTCTCAGACACTTGACACTCAGACACCTTTTTGGCCTCAGTTCCGTCGAACCCAAATGTACGAAACAGATATATCATCAGTTTTAATTGACTTTGGCACAGACGGCATGCACGTTATTTACCCTAAAGCCATACACTTTCCAGCAAAATTCAATTATGATACGGCTGAAAAAAGGATGTTGCCCTTAGTTTTGTCATGAGCATTCACCGTCCATAAAATGCAGGGCAGCACCGTCGACCATGCAGTAGTATATTTGGGCTCAAAATGGTTTGAGGAAGGACAAGCATACGTGGCTCTAAGTCGAGTCAAGTCTCTGGAAGGGCTATGTATTGAGGAATTAGATTGTACTAAATTATCAGGTAAGAAACCATGTAATAATGATGCACTGAATGAATTAAATAAAATGAGGAATATTCGGTAAACAATTTCACTAAATTCTAAAAACAAGAAAATAAAATCGGTAAAAAAACTTTTAAGTTAAACGGTTTTATTTTATGTGCACTGAAAACTACAAAATAAATAAATAGTTACTTACCTATCAACCTACGTAGGTGATCTCGATCATTAATATCTCTGATGGTAGTGGTTGTCATAACATGAACCATGTCAGCGGCCGAAAGGCAGTTCATGAGAGAACACTAACACCAGGGTTTGCTTGGTAGGTAAACTAAGCAGCCCGCACTATAACAAGTAGGTATTTTGACCTTCTAGTTCAGAAATATTTTAGTACTAGGCAGAATAGCTTTTAGGCATATTAGACTAAAATAAAAACGTGGGGCCCCTCTGAAATCATACCTATAGCAGAGCATATCTTATACTTTGGTAGATCATGAGCTCGGCGTTCGCTGGTGAAGCCGTAACGGCTGGTTATTGATGGTCAAAACCTCCAGTTACGATTATAGTAAGTCGATTCAGCGGACCCTGGACTCCGAAGCTATGAGGTTTCGGATGCGACCGGGATAAACCGCTAGGATGATGATGATGACGATTATAATAAGTCGATGCAATCCACACTTAGTATAGTAGAAAGTAATACAGAAATAGTTAATGGGCCCCACGTTTTTATTTTAGTCTAATATGCCTAAAAGCTATTCTGCCTAGTACTAAAATATTTCTGAACTAGAAGGTCAAAATACCTACTTGTTATAGTGCGGGCTGCTTAGTTTACCTACCACAAACCCTGGTGTTAGTGTTCTCTCATGAACTGCCTTTCGGCCGCTGACATGGTTCATGTTATGACAACCACTACCATCAGAGATATTAATGATCGAGATCACCTACGTAGGTTGATAGGTAAGTAACTATTTATTTATTTTGTAGTTTTCAGTTCACATAAAATAAAACCGTTTAACTTAAAAGTTTTTTTACCGATTTTTATTATATATGCAAAATACATACATAAACACACTTACACACACATACACACACATCATGCATACACACATACACATACGCATACGAACACATATCTATAATATATATATATATAAAGATAGGCTCTTTTTTTTAATTTTAATTTAAACTTGATGGCCATTATCATCATCTTCTATCAGCCTTTAATTGCCCACTGGTAGGCATAATCTTCCCCCTTGGGGGGTTTTGCCAGCAGTTGCCATGCTTGGCAGGCGGATGTGCAACCGCAATTAGGCATTAGAGATGTTTTAAGAAGGAAGTTGTTGCTCATCCTTCATCCTTAATCGTCTACGACACCAACAGGAAAGGAAGTGGCGACATATTCTATGCCGGGACCATACACACATAGCAACGGTAGACATAATTTACTGAAAATACCATAGTGTAACTACCGTTATCCTACAATACAATGCAGTAAAAAACCTAAGAAATCTGAAATAAGACAGATCTTATAAAATATTTCGTACCAATTAAATATTAATGTAATTATGTTCATTTATTTTTTAAATCATATATGTCAAGGGCTATAAAAATATTACTTATTCAAATGTTCACTAACGCGATTGAACATGTTCAAACCAAATTGTAATATAGATGCACTATGCTATGGATTAACACATTTCAAACTTTTATTCAAATAATAATTGCATTAGGGATTCTTAAATTATTAATTGTTTGACAAAACACTTTCCGACGGCTTGATCCAGGGCCGTAGCTAGATCCATGTTTAAGGTAGGGCAAAAGAACTTTTTGGTAGGGTAGAAGCCATAATTAAGTGACTTCAAAAAAGCGACTCTGTCTAATTTTCTTGAGGCCTTTCATTTTAAGGTAGGGCATTGGGCCTTTTAAGTTAGGGCAATCAATCCCTCAATCCCTCTCCCCGAGCTTCGGCCGTAGCTTGATCTAATGAGATCCAATAGTTTTCCTTTAATGGTGAAATGATGCTGTGGTAACATAGCCTGTATAGCAGAGAGATGTGGGTTCGATTTCCATCAGACCGAATCGTCTAACAATATTTTTATAACTTATCAATGATTTAGGATTCTTACATCGCAATTCACACGAGTAGCTTCTACAATATTTACTGCTTTTCGCAACAGGAGCAATCAGAGGTATAATAGTGGAGCCGGCTTCTCGCCGCCTGGAGCCAGTGGAGGTGTTCTGGGGGGTGCCGTATGCCGGGCAGCCGGCTCGACTGGGCCCGCCGCCCGCGCCGCCCAGCTGGCCCGGGACCAGACTCGCCGACGCATTTGCCCCGGTCTGTCCTCAACGTTATCCAGACATATCCAACAAGTAAGTTTTGCTGGTAGTTTGTTTTTTTTATTTCAATGATGATACCAGAATATGATTTGCTCCATTGAATATTTTAATTAATTCATACCAGAAGGAGACTTTGTACAAAAGTCGTTTGCTTGAGCTTGCAAAAGTCGTCGGTCCCATTTGTGTTTCAACCGTAAAGCAGTTGTGTTTGCATGGCTGTTTCGGTTTGAAGGGTGGGATATGGCGTGAAATTACAGGGTACAGAGAAATAACATCTGAATCCTCAGGAATGGCAACGCATAGGGGGTATCATGGGCGAAAAAGTATACTCTGTTATGTCTATGATACTGCTCATGTTTATAGGGGACAGTTACCACTTTCCATCAGGTTGGCCGTTAGCTTGTTTGCCATTTTAAGGTGTATATAAAAAAAGAATGCATGGCACACTACCACAGTACATCCATCCTGTTTGTTTCCACCTCGTACATTTGGGTTGTAGTATGAACTATCTTCATCAGCTTTCCCCTTAAAATATATTATGGGGCATTTAAAAAACTGTCTTCAAAACATGTCTAGTGATTCAAGTGTTCATGGGCGACGACTGGCGCTTCCCATCACGTAGACCATCTGCTCAGTTGCTTCCCGAACAATAAAAAAAGAAAATTTTCTAAATAACTTCAGTTCTGGGTTTTTCGGGTTGTGATCACAGGTTTTCATAGTCTTATATCTGTCAATAGGTTTGTTTTTCTGATATTATGCCAAAAGTGCGCTTTATTTTTTTATGCAACTCGGAATAGCAAACAACCTGATGGAAAGTGATAACTATGGCCTCTCATGTATTGCCATTCCTGAGGATTAAGGTGCTTCGCCAATCAAAATACACTTTGTCACGATCAATACGATAATAGAAGTTATTCTTCGTTGTAATCGTGTGGATAAAGTTACTAGGTGTAGCGAATGTTGGTGCATTGTTACAGAAGTGCGGCGTTATCCAAAATGCCACTCGGGATGTACAACGAGCTGAAAGCCACCGTTCCTCTGTTAGCCAATCAAAGCGAAGACTGTCTCTACCTCAATATCTATGTACCCGGTAGCGGTAAGTATATAGCGTTCCCTGTTATTCGATATTTACAATGAACCAATTTTATTTATCTTTTATAACCTAATTCTAAAACCGTCCAACGTTGTTTATTTTGATGTCTAATAAACATCACGAAAGAGAATTACACTAGTAAGAATAGAAATATTTTTACCAGAGGGAGACTTTGTACGAAAGTCGATTGCTTGGGTACCTCTGTCCCATTTGTATTTCAACCGTGAAGCAGTTGTGTTTGCATGGCTGTGTTTCGGTTTGAAGGGTGGGATATGGCGTGAATTTACTGGGTACAGAGGAATAACACATGAATCCTCAGAAATGGCAACGCATAGGGGGTATCATGAGCGAAACAGTATACTCTGTTATGCCCATGGTACTGCTCATGTCTATAGGCGACGGTTACCACTTTCCATCAGGTGGGCCGTCAGCTTGTTTGCCATTCTAAGTTGTATAGAAAACAAAAAATCAAATAAATTTTATTATAAGCATGTTTGAAGTAATTCTTTTATGAATCTACTAAATCCGAGACAATACTACAAATGCCAAGGTTTTCCCTAGAGACAACAGTACGGGGTACTTCAAAAAGGATGCTTTATATTAAGGTTTCTTCAGGGTCAGCAACGCGCACGTGACAGCTCTAGTGTTCATATATGTATAGACTACAGTGACCGTTTACCATCAGACGGGCGGCATGCTGGTGGCAACCATTGTGGTATAAAGAAATCACAATTCATATTATATACATTCGACCAAGAATTTCCAATTTTACGTATTTGTTCTTATATAAATATACAGCAAAAGTAAATATTTTTTTCACGACATCGAAAAGGTTTTCGAATTAACTGTATTTATATATTACTATATTTTACTATCGTTCGCGTAACTGACATATAATGATTGATTGTAATTGTGTTTATATTTGTTATAGTAATATATTTTATGAATATTTAAGTCAACAGAAATGATTTAAATATCCACTGAGACACATTCTCGACCTAGTTCGGTGGCTAGTAGATGTAACTAAATGGTTTTTTTTTTATACAACTTAGAATGGCAAACAATCTGACGGCCCACCTGATGGAAAGTGGTAACCGTCGCCTATAGACATGAACAGTACCATGGACATAACAGAGTATACTGTTTCGGTTATTCCACTCATGATGATTTGATTGATTTCGCCCATGATGATATTTAATCAAAACTATTTAAAAGCACCTTTCTTACTATTTATTTAATTAATTAAAATTGATTTTGAAAATGTCAACTTAAAGATGAATCGCGATACCACGCAAAGCCGCGAGCAATAACTAGTTTATAATATTAGTAAAAAAATATTTTTTCCATTTTGTACCAAAGTCAAATTTTGTTACATAGGAGCGCGCGGCGTGGAGGCGCCGTACGCGGTGGTGGTGTGGGCCGGCGGGCCGTCCCACGAGTGGGGCTCCGGCAACGCGCTCGACGGCGCCGTGCTCGCTGCGCGCGCGCACCTCCTTGTCGTCACCATTAACTATAGGCTAGGTTTATTAGGTACGCCTCATATAAGTATTAGGTTTTATTTTATCAAATTGATTTTATCTCTTTACTATTTGTTAGTATAGATCTACGAAGTAATCGATACAAGCAGTAGGTAGTAACAAAGCGTAAGAACAGCAGTACCATAATTTTATGTAGAACAAATTTGATTTGATATTTTTTTTTTTTTATCAACTAGATAATACTAACTGAAGACGTATATCTTTTGAAATACACAACTTAACTGATTTTTTTTTAAATTGATGATAAGAAATGGTATACTCACTCGCTATCTGTATATGCTGGCAGGGCATTGATGAAGTATGATAGGTGAGGTTGAAAGCTGGTCAGTTGGCCCTTCGCAACGAATTCATTAATAATTAACCACAATTGTTTCCAAGGAGAGTCGCGTGAAGGTCGACCTGATAAGGCATTTTTTTAAAGGGTGATAATGGGATGGTATCCAGCCCGCGCTATCGGTATACGCTGGCAGAGCACCAGTGATAGATGATATGTGACGATGAAAGCAGGTCAGTTAGCCCATCGTGACGAATTCCACTACGATTAACCACGATGGTTTCTATGGGGAACCCCGTGGAGGGCGACCTGACAGGGTGTATTGCTAGCAATAGGTCAATTAGACCCGATTACTAACAATCCCTTTCCCAGGGCATATTGGTAGCAAATAGTTGTATTGTACTACAGGCTAATTTTGTTTAAGGAAATGATTGCGATCGAAGTCGTTTTTTGCGGAACTAATACTTTTTCAAATAATTTTTAAATACAAATACATATTTAGTTGATAATGAAATTATGTACAGAACGTATTCATGCAGGTTATCTTACAAGTGGTCTGAGGTCAGACGAAGTGCAGCAAGCGGGCGGAGCTGCGGTTCTCGACGTAGCTGCAGCGCTGTCGTGGGTCCAGCTGAATATTGCCGCGTTCGGCGGAGACCCACGACGAGTCACGCTCGCGGGTCACTCGGCCGGCGCAGCGTTAGCTAACGCGCTGCTCATGATGCCAAGTAGTAAAGGTAAGACTGAAGTAGATATCCTAAATGTGCACCTGCATATTTTTAATCTTCAAAAACTTTAAATCCTTTTAGAATGGAATTAGTTACTAATATGGTTTAGGTTAAGCTATTAGCGTTATTTGTTTGTAGTAAAAAATATTTAAATAGATTGAAGGAAAACCTTGGAGCAATGTTCTTTCATTGATTCCTTTTTTTTAATCTTATACTATTCTTTTAGTATAAATTGACCTAGTTCTCTGTTCTAGCTCTTTTTCTGTTGTATCCCTTGTTTTGTACTTCAAATTACCTCTAGTTTTAAAACTAGAACTTTAAAATGCTCAAAATATTTTTTGCACAGGTCTGGCATCTCGTGTGTTGCTCTTGAGTGGTTCGGCTTTAAGTCCAACCGCTCTAGCGCCCGATGCCGCACTGGCTCGAGAGCACACGGTTCAAGCACTTCGCTGTACCCCTGACTCGACCACTGACGAGAATTGGTAATTTATCAATGTATTCACATATTTATCTCAAAAACTGAATAATTGATGGAGGAAGAAATGCCTTTAGTTTAGTTATAAATATGGGAAATGGGAAGAGTGATCATACTTAAGTTGTTCAGTTGTACTTTCCATCAGATAAACTGCAAATTTATTTGTTATTTTATCTTATAAATAAAAATATTAACAAATTAAACTTGGTTATACAGAAAACAGCCATCTTTTACGAAATGCCCATAAGAGATGACTGTTTTCTCTGTAACTATCTCCAAGTGTTACTTATTTTGTTTGTTCAGGTTAGTGGAATGTATACGCGCTCGGCCTCTTGTTGCCCTCTTAGCTGTTGAAGCTCCCAAAGCCAGATTCTTAGCTGGTTGGGCCCCATCAGTGCCAGTTTTGAAAGATTCATCCTTAAGCCAAGCTCCGACTAAAGCTTTACACGCCAGTGAAACTTTCCTTGAATGCGCGTTAGCCGTGGTCGTTGCTACGACTGAGAGCTATCAATTTTTTAATGAAGATGACATAAGACACGGATTTGAAGAAGAGCACAGGTACGTATAAAATTTGTAAATCATGGTTTGTACAGGCGAGGGATATTTTGTCAGCTGTCAATATACCTAATTTTATTATTATTATTGAGAGAATAACCTATAATGACTTCAATAGTCAATTGTGCTTGCTCTTTTTAAAATTTGTTGCTAGTTTCTGTCAGTGAATTTTAAGTTATTTTTAGCAGCTATATCTAGTCTTCGTTGGATTTTATAGTCATAATAAAATCTCTAAAATTGTATGCGTACGAATTACAAGATTTTTTTTTCTACTAACGTTTACACTTTTTTTTCATGTCTGCATAGGTCTTTAAATAATGATTTTCTCTATTATTATCTATTAAAACGTTGGTATAACGGTACTGTTGTAGAAATCGTATTCTGCGCACGTACGTTCGCAACGTCTACCGATATCATCGGAACGAGATCTTCGCTGCAATCCGTAATGAGTATACGGACTGGGAGAAACCTATACAGCACCCGATCAATATTCGTGACGCCACGCTCGAGTCCCTCAGCGACGCGGCAGTCGCGTCCCCTGCCCTGAGAGTCGCTCAGCTCCATGCAAGAAGAGGTGCAAGGACATATTTCGCGCACTTTGCACATCAAAGCAAAGATGCTGACTACCCGCAGGTATGCACATTGCTATCAAGTAAAGTTAATAATTAATATTACGTCAACAGATATATAGAAGTCATGTTTTGAAACTTATGTACAGATTTTTTTAATTGATGATAATGGAATGATCACCCTGCCTGCGCCAATGGTATACACTGGTGAGGCACCAGTGAGGGATGATAGGTGAGGATGAAGCTGGTCAGTTGGCCTATCGTGATTTATAATAAATCAATCACAATAGTTTCCACAGAGAACCGCGTGGAGGTTGACCTGATAGGGTATATTGCTAGCAATGGGATTGTTAATTCCCATTACTACCAATCCCTTCTCCTCCCTATGTACAGATTTAACTTCGTATCGTAAAAGTAGCTTATATATATTATATGTATATTTTGCATCTTTTATTGGATATATTGAATTCTTGCAGAGGTTAGGAAGCGTTACAAGCGAAACCCTGCCCTACTTCTTGGGTTTACCATTAGTGGGAGGGATGCAGTTTGCTCCTCGCAATTATTCTCGAGGGGATATAGCTGTGGCAGAGTCTGCCGTGGCCCTGCTCGCTGCGTTTGCTAAGACTGGAGATCCAACTCCTAGGACGGATGAGCGGCATCATGAAAACGCTATATCTTGGCCAAGATATGAATTGAACACGCAACAATATTTGAGCATAAGTAAGTCAACTTCTTCATTGTTTTATTAATTAATATTCTTAATTTTCTTGTTAAAATTTTTTTTTTCACTAAATATTCAAAGTTACAGTTTAACGGTTTTTATAGAATAATTCAAACCTAAAAATTGATTTGATCTTGACTGAAGAATTGAAATTGTTTGTTGTGTAAAAAGAGGAAGAGAATTAAAAAAAAATCAGTTCTTTAAAAGTTATTATCGATGATATCACAAACATGCGTACATATACATACATGCACACAAAAAATATAAGCCAATTGAGTAATAATACTTTTTGAAGTTGCTTAAAATGCTTTTCTTTGACGCACATAGAGCAGTATTCATAAAACTCTACATTTTATTAGGTACGAAACTTCGGGTGAAGAGCCATTATCGTGGCCACAAGATGGCGCTGTGGCTGCACTTAATCCCTCAGCTGCATCGACCAGGTGCTGCACCGAGGCATCATCAGTTCCGCTCTATACACCCGGATATGTTTGCCGGTAAGTGGAAGACGATTTCCCACTAGATGGTGTGTCGATCTTGAATGTGTTTCAGGGAGCTAATGATTCAGAACGGATTATATGGATACCTATCCGATACCTATATAATGGGTTTCTTTGGACATTGATGGCGGAAAAAGGTCATCTTTTCGATATCTCCCGTATCGCTCAGTTATCTATTTTCGAATATGAAGTCTGATATCTAATAATAAAATGTAGTCATATTTAACAAAATGTCTCGACTATTCCATCTGTGATTACACTAGTAAACATGCTCATAAATGTTACTAATAGACAGGGGGAGACTTTGTACGAAAGTTGTCAGCTTTGCTATTTCTGTCCTACTCGTCTTTCGATGGCCAAGCAGTTGCGCTTACGTAGCTGTGTTTCAATTCGAAAAGTCCCATGAAGTAATGACAACGCATGAGGAGTACCAGCTCGTATTACGACCATCACAGTCTAACATGGTGCTGTTCATGTTTATATTCCCTCAGGTGGCTGTTAATTTGTTTGAAATCCCGATTTGCAGAAGACAACGATTAAAAATTTCATCTATGTTTACTCGAACAAAGCCATAATTTATATACTTTTGCGATTCTTTTACCTTATAAGAAAAAACGGAGCCATTATTGGATCATTTTGTTATCCGTGTGTCAAGATCCTTTTCCTCAGGAACACGTGGAAATATCAAGCTAAAATTAATATTCTAAACTAATTCTGTAATCCCTTGAAAAACATGAAATTTGGCAATAAGCAATATCCTATAGTACAAGTGAAGAGAAAAATTCGAAAACGATTCGTAGATTTTGGTTTTTTTTATTAAACATTATAGTACATTACTTCAGTCGCCAGCAACTGAGGTATTGATGGACGAACGTACAAATGTGGGCCGAGGCGTAGCCGAAGCACACATACGTGAGTCCGTCAATGCCTAGTTGTGGCCAAGGCTTGTATAGTATTTTTCTCAAACAATGCGCGGAAATCAAGACCACAATTTTACTTTTTAAGTTCAATGACGAAAAACGAACAATAACAATTTTTCACGCGCCATAATGTTCCTTTGTTTTTTTTTTTTTCAATAAACAGCTTTATATTTGCAAGCCAGTTCGAAACTAAAATAAAACCTTGTATTAGTTACCTCCTTGGTAGCCATGTTTCGAAGTAAAAGGTTATTCCATTTTTAAATTACAGGACAGGTATGAGTTTACATAGTAATTTATCTGGCCGCAAAACACTATAGATATGGATTTTCATACAACTTTTGCCGGCCGCTGCCCGCATGTATCTGGCCAGTACGGCAATTTTGATTTATCTCGAAGAAAATTGTCAAAATAATACTCACATTTCCAAGCATGTTTGAGAAAAAATAATTATATAAACTTTCACATATTAACTTATAAGTTTATGGCACATTCGCTTCAGCTCGAGTCTATTAGCCAATTATTTCAATACCTATTTTAATTAACTACCATATCAGCGGAATTCAAATTGGTGGCTCACTATTCCAATTTAAATTGAACACGTCTTGTTATCCACCGCCATTAGTGCCATTTCCCGCTCCGTACAGTGTACGGAACACCCTCATTAAGCGTTTCCAGTTTCCCCCTAATAAATGTTCTGAAACACTATCGGATGGGAGGGAACTGGGGCGAGCTCGAGACGCGCCGTGAATCGCTCAGGGCGCGTTATTGGTGGAACACAATGTCGCGTCATAAGTCATATATATGGCAATATAATTCATAGCTAGCTAAAGAAAAATATTTAAATAGATTTAAAATTATAATAGTATCTTTATAAACTATTTTTTTAAGAGTCAATCAAAATGATGGCGGATAGATCGCCTACTATCACAAAGGATTCTAATATGCTCAGTAAAATGTGGATAAAGTTTTTGTTGTTTTGTATTTTATTTTTTATCTTGTATTTACACTATTTTTTTCTTCTACCTTTCCTGTACTAGATTACCCGCTAATCTCTCTTCCAATGCTCTGAGTTGGCTGGAAGAGATCTCTTTCAGAGATAAACCCACCCTTACAATAAAAGATATGTTATAATAATACCATGGATTTTGGTGCATTACTAATGTGAACTAAAACAGTAATAGTAAATAAATTCCTCTTGTCTTGATAGATAGACCTCTTTTATAATAACAAGTCCTGGTAATTAAGGAACCTATAAAGCATGATTGGTATACTTAAGATATTAAAACCGCCAAGCAACCGCCACTTTTGGATGCACAATAAATCAAAGACGCGATCGCGGTTCGTTCATCAAAAACTTGATTAATGAAATCCGGTAATGAAGCAAGCGTTTTAACACAAAAATGAGCGATCGAATAGAACCGGGCGGCTTCCAGAACCTGATATTAATTGTCTATGGGCGTCTCAAATTCTGCCATAATGAGCGCTATGTAAAGAATGGCGGAATGGCGGCTAGCAAACAATGGCGGCACGCTATTGTGACGAACAGGCCCGTGTTCAGCAAACGGCACCGGTAACGAACGACTGAACGCAATCGCGCAAACCGCACCTTCATTAATTATATTTATACCAGCTGTAATTCGCGGCTTTGTCCGCATGAATTAGGATAAAAGCATCCTGTTTATTAATACAGGATATGGTTCGTCTGTGTAAGGAATTTCATTCAAATCTGTTCAGAGGTTTGAGGGCAATTAAGTAATTAATACTCAAGAATCCAAATATTTTTTTTTTTTACAATACAGGGGGCAAACGAGCATTTTTTTATACAACTTAGAATGGCAAACAAGCTGACGGCCCAACCTGATGAAAAGTGGTAACTGTCGCCTATAGACATGAGCAGTACCATGGACGTAACAGAGTATACTGTTTCGCCCATGATACCCCCCATGCGTTGCCATTCCTGAGGACTCAGTTGTTATTCCTCTCTACCCTGTAAATTCACGCCATATCCCACCCTACAAACAATATATATAATTCTGGTTCTAATCAACAAGAGATATGAAATAGCAATCACGTAAATGAAAATCTCGTCAAATTCAAAAGTCGACCAACAGACTTCAACTACAGTTGAATTCACTACATTCAATTTGTATCGAAGTAACGTGACTTATAAACTAGTTTAATACCTATTTGACTAACTTGTTTTGTTTCGAGCGAGCCTTAAGCGCTGTGTCCTTCCACATTTACCATACATTGATTTAATTAATTACTTCCTAATATTATGACTTTGTTTATTTATTATTTCTTAGCGTTTTAATTAAAATTTGATGTACACATAATGAAGAAGGATATAGACTTAAAATTGGTATAAAAATCTCCGTCAATTAACGTAATGGAAAGCGTCATGAACATCACAGAGTATACTATCAACATATCAGCCCTTCTGTCTGTTACTGAACATAAGGCTCCCCTTTGGGAGGGGTTTTGCCAGTAGTTGCTATGCTTGGCATGCGGTTTGGCAACCGCAGTTAGGCTTTGGAGATGTTTTAAGAGAAACACTGCTGCCCGTATCTCTTCCTCCCTTAGTTGCCTTTTACGACACCCATGGGAAAAGAAAGGGTGGCTTATTCTATGCCGGGACCATACGGCTATACAGAACACAGAGTATACTATAATGAGTATATCATATACTTCATAAGTTGATGTTTTCAAGAACTAAGTTGTTATATCTGCGTACTCAGTAATTTCACTGCCATGCCCCACCATATAGTTAGTTACAAAACATTCACTTCAACATGCCATTATCGTGATGGAAAACTATTCCATCGACTGTCTACAACAGCTACAACTGATTAGAAAATAACAAAAAAGAAATATATAAACAAAAATCCAAATCTTTTATATCGTATTAAGGAAAGACCAGACAAAAAGCGTGTGGGGTATCAACAAATAAAAACGTTAATAAAAAGACGTTCCCAACACGGGCGTGTATATTTGCTATATGAAACCATTGAATTTCGTTTCTTCAGTTTCCTTTCAAGTAGGTAAAGCAACAATAGCCCGGAGCGGTAATGGGCAGGCGAGGGCCCCGATTGTGAGCCAGCCCTTTGTGCATGAACTCCACCCAAACGGATACACACAACTTCGCGTTTGTACGTTCTTTGCTCTAAATCACTGTATACCTATTCATTAAGTTCCTTTCTAAGTTTTGTGAGCTCATTAACTGGACCGGGCTAATAAAACACCGCTGGGGATCCTCATGTGAATGTAGGTCAAGTTTACATTTGGTGGGATGAACTCCGTCAAACTTTATCCTTAATTATCATATACATTAGTTTATTAAATTGAGCGACCCAGATCCTAACTAATAATGTTAGAGTTTTTATACTACATACTACTAAAGGGTTGCGAACAAGTACACAATCCGCTTTGTACCAAATAACCATCGCTTTCCATGTAAGCGAATTGAAATTTCTTGGTATTAGATAGTAGTGAATAAAAATACGGGATATTTTCTGCAAACTGGAACACAGCATGTGAGCAAGCTGTTTGGTAGCTAAAGTAATTGAGACAGATATAATCATGCAGATGTTTTTTTACAAATTAATATACATTTATACTTTATATATTTTGAAATGATAACCAAACTGATGACGCATTTGATGGTCAGTCGTTAGCATCTTTTTTTTTATACAACTAGAATGGCAAACAAGCTGACGGCCCATCTCATGGAAAGTGGTAACCGTCGCCATTAGACATGAGCAGTAGCATGGACATAACAGAGTATACTGTTTTGCCCATGATACCCCCCATGCGTTGCCATTCCTGAGGACTCAGGTGTTATTCCTTTGTACCCAGTAAATTCACGCCATATCCCACGCTTGAAACCGAAACACAGCCATGTAAACACAACTGCTTTATGGTTGAAACACAAATGGGACAGAGGTACCCAAGCAATCGACTTTTGTACAAAGTCTCCCTCTGGTAATAATCTCTTATAAACAAGAAAGGCATCGTGGATTTCACAAAATTTATTGTGATGCTTATAGTGTCTCTTATTACTCGTAAACTGGCACTGCTAAAGACTACGGTGTTATTACTCCGCATTGTATAATTCCGCCTCCATATCCCATTCTTTGAGTAGTAGCTGAAAAAAAGCTAGTATAATTATTCGTACTCAAGTAAAATATTATATCATCTGGACAACTTTTATGTAAAATTACTCTATTGCATGTTGGGTTTTCAAACGAATTATTTAATGGTAAATCTTCCTTTGTTTCTTTCTTCTCGACTCCTCAACGACGCAACCAATTGTCATGAGATTACATCGTAACATTTGTAAATTGTTACGACATTAGAACTTGATATCCCAGGAACAGTATGTTTGTAAAACATGTTAACGTAGAATTTCCTTAATTGTACACAATTTCCCCGTTTTATTGCTTTTTCCGATCGCAATCGTTATTTTTGTCAGATTGCAAACGTATTCGTATCACGCAACAAGTGTCTGGGGTATAATGTTGCGTGTCTAAAAAACACAAAGAGATTCCTCCAAACATTGACATTGTAATAGTATTTGCTATACGACCTTACTGGATCGTAAATTTGCAAAGTTTATAAGACGCGTTTCAAATATATTAAGGGAACATTTCCAAAATCAAATAAGGTTTCAAGTGACTGTGAAATGGTATCGAATCTCTAAATTTGAAGCGAGAATTTGCCTACTTTTGCGTATTTTGCCACATGCATAATGGATTATGTTCTAAGTAATTATTTAATATGACGTTCATTATCAGTTTTTATCGTTACATCGCGTGCTGTTATCAAGGAATTCTTTCTCAAACAATAATTATTCTAAATAATCAAATATATTGCGGTTTCAGAAGAGTTTCGTCCCATAAAAATTCAGATTGTGGACAAAACTTTTTACCTGGATTTTTATCTGTATACCTACTACAGCATTATTTTCTCCAGAAAGGATGATTACATTCTATTATAACCATTAAGATTTTAAGGGTCACCATATCCCAGGAATGAAAGTAAGTGGTGCATAAGAGAAAAATCCCGATACTATAAATATTTTTATATATTTGGAATATTAGGTTAGCGTCACATACCAAGTATCTTCGGTTGACGAAGATACACGACCGAAGATCCACTGAATGTAGAGCTAGCCTTATTCTCCAACTTGAAATTCTGTTACCATTAATCAATATGCAAGCTTTAAAAATTTTAAGAAGAAATGAATTCTTTATTAATCAGTAAAATGATCGTTTATTCCAGTTAAATGCCAAAGTGTCTTAAATTATTGCAATAAACTCTTAAAATTTAATATGCCTCTGCACTTTGGTTATTTTTAGTACCTGCTACAAAAACTGGTCGATTGGCCTACAAAAACGTTGTACGTGAATGTTCAGCAGTAAACCAGGCTCGTAATATGAAAATATCAAATTATGGTGTTTGACAGAATGTATTCGCAAAGCGGCGAAACTTTTATATTCACTTAAAAAGTCATTTTTGTGATAGTGAGTAAATTTTATGGTGGTTGTAACACGTCGGTCGTAAGTTTATAACTTACTTTATGTTGTAAACGAAAATTAGCTGCTGTGCTTCTAACTTCATTCGAGAGGGAGTTTAGATTTAAAGAATCTTTAATTTTCCGGGATAAAACTTTTTAAAGCGGACCTAGAATGAACCGGGATAACAGTTCTCAAAGTTGACCTGGAACAAAGCTAAGTTTCTTCATTACGTGTTGGATTATTTATCATGTACTTCATGTACAGACAGATTGTCGTTAATTAGTTTCATTAAACGGTTATTATATAAATATAAATATTTCTTTATATAAATATACATCAATTTAAAAAATTGCCAACAACTTAGTATGAGTATCAACTCGATTTACATTTAAAAAGTGAAAGTTCTCAATTTGGCTTTGGACTTTTTAAGTTATGTGATATCTTCACCAATTGTAAACGAATTTTGATCATTCTTTTTTTATTAGATTTATTAAAATTGGTTTACTTTTAAATTGGTCTTACACTACCTATTATATCAAGAGTAACTTTGATTGGTTTCAAAGAGTAGATGACAACAATAACACATTGGAATAGAAAAAAAGCTTGTATTTTTTGGATATTATATTACACGATATTTTCGTCAATTTAAAATATTTTTAATAATACTTTCTACAGTTGATAGCGCTTACTACCCTATTGATCTCATATTATTCTTCTACTTTCATTTATTGTTTATGTCTAGTAATATTTCAAATTATTGAAGATATAAATCTTAAATTAATCATTTATTTAGGTGAGATATTTCCCGAGCTGTATACAACAACAGCGGCCTTAGATGACGAAGAAGAGAGTCCGGAAGTAGAAGAAGATCCGCCAGAAATAGAGGAGTGTGAGCCTTCCCCTTCGCCACGCCCTGCACTTTCCGCTCTTCCAGCGCCACAACCTTCACCCAAAGAAGACTCGTTAACTACTTTAGATTCACAATATTACAGGTAAGATCCAATTTGTTTTAGGAAACTGGTTTCAAGAAGAATACTAATAGAATGCAGTAAACGGTGGGGGCTTATACTAACTTGTAAATATTTTCCATTTCATTCATTTATTTATTCGATAACAATAATACAATTGTGTTTGAAAAAATGTACAATCAAATATCAAATAATGTATAATCTAAAAGAGGAGGGACCGGCATATATGCATTTTTTTTATACTGTTGAGAATAGCAAATATGTTAAGGGCTCACCTAATGGGAAGTGGTAACTGTCACCTATATATATGAAGAGCACTTTGGTTATCTCTGCAATGCTTATAGCATCTCTCATGCTTTACCATTCCTAAGGACTAAAGTGGTGTCTTGAGATAAGCTATGAAAGTGGACAAAGCAATGATCTAAATATGTGCGATTCTCATACGTTTAGCATTCAGCTCTTACTACCTATCATATAAGTCAGTACGTACAATATCCATAGATAATGACGTGATTTAAATAGATACAGGGAAACAAATATGTTTATGGTTGTAAAATCTTGGTTAAACAAGCTAACGATGTAAGATTTTCAATTATTACGGTATTAGAATGGTAGCTTTGCAGTACCTGATATAGATTATTTTGGAATATCTTGTACCATTAACAAAACCAAATACATAAAAAATATCTAAATAATCTGTGTAAATACTCTGTGTAAATACTCTGAAGATAATAAATACACTATTTTTTTTTATTTGATATCTTCAATATTAATGAAAACCCCTTATAAATTCACCTGGTATTATGTTTAAAGCAAAATATACGTACAGTCTAATTAAAGGACTACGTTTTGTTTAATTTCCACAGAACACCTGTTTATTTTATCGTGGAAGAAAGTGATTAAACGGACAAGAGTAATGTAAGCTTGTTTTATGTTGAACAAAAATTATTTCTTCCCTTGAGGTTCCTTTTATCGCTGCAGGATAAGTATTAAAATTTTAAACATTAACGATGTTTATGGCAAATTATACTTTACTAGGTATTTTTAGCAGTTTTATCTTACATAACAACAGGTATTTCGAAAACCGTATTGTAAAATAACAGACTTTATTCTCATCACTTGATCTATTACAATTGTATACTACATTTGTATTCTGGTAAATTACATTGCTATAAAATAATATTGCTGTCTGTCCACAGTCTAAAAATATTTGAGTACATTTCAAATAAGACTATTGTTTTTAATATCAACTACAAAAGCTTTTACTCAAAAATGCATCATTACTTCTCTTTACTACGTGACTCCAACCCCTCACATCGCCTCACGAGTTTAAATACTTTACTAACAAACAGTAAAGTGTAAAGCCCGATATTTCGAATACGCTACCAGACTCCTGCATAAACAAGATTGATCGGCTGGCTTCGCTGTGAACGCGTAATTCCACTAATGTGTTTACCTAGATGTTTACCTCCCAGAATATTGTCCCGTTTTGTCTCGCAAATAATGTCTTAATGCGAGTCATTTCTCAGAGGTCTGTGAGTTTTTTCGAGACACAACTGGATACGCTTGATAATGGTAATGGATGGCATCGAATTTCGCGCGGGAATTAACTGGACTTTGCTCAGTGAAAGAATAATGCGAGTCATTTTTCAAAGTAAATTCGAAGCGTTAGTTATTACTATTTTTATCGTTAATGGGAATATTGAAGTGCGGTTAAGGCAGAGGACAAATCAATTTTAGATTGGTATTTGATTTTATAAAACCTTCTTTAAATCTGTTATGTTTAAGTTCTTTTCTAATTATACATAGATGTGCAAATAATTTAATAATATGTATTTCGATCGTAATATTTATCTTTACAGGTAAATTTTTACATCCAGTTAAGGTTTTATTGTTAATATGGTTAATTTAGAAAAGTTTTGGTATCCTACACTAAAAGGCAATTAATAGTGGTTAGTTGATTAGAATTATTTTGTTTAATTCCGCTACCATTAGTATGCGTGCGACTGCCAACACTCGAAAATTAACTGCTATTATTATTACCAGAAGTTCCACAATCTTTCACATTAGCTATCATACTCCAACCATCATTCCGTCTACGAAAGTTTTGCAAAACTCGTGAACAGTAATCAATATTCGAGTGTTGGCAATCGCACGTACACTAACGGTAGCGGAATTAAACAAAATAATTCTGAACAACTGACCAGTAATATGCACTTTCTGCAAAATAATAGTATTTCAATAAAACAATTAAATGGTATTAACATTTAATAATTAATAGTTTAATACTTTACGAGTATAATACATATTTCATGTCGTATTCACATTTATATTGTCGGATTATTTTACCAGTTTCAGTTTTCCCCTTCGAATATAATATGGGGTATACAAAAAATGTGCCTACATACTTTTGAAAGGTTGGCAACGCACAAAGAATTCCTCTCATGTTGCAGGTATTCATGGGCGACGGTAGCTACTTTCCATCGACGGTCTCCTCGTTTACCCCCCCTAACGATAAAAATGAATGATATTTCTTCTATCTATTTATATAGTATTCATATTGTCTTGTCAATAGTTACACGGTAGCACTTGGTGTTACTGTCGGCGCTGGGTGCTTCTTGCTGGCCCTGAACGTGCTGGTCTTTGCCGGTATCTACCTGCAACGCGGTCGCCGGAGAACCACTCATCGTAGGCCGAGGAGAGAAGGTCAGTTTTGATTTATTAGAGTCAAGCGTGAGTACTCGTTCATTTGATATAACGTTCAATAATATCACATTTACTGTACCTATGTTTAGACAAAAAAATGATTGATCGATTATTAATAGGTTGAAAAATTTGCCTTTCGACAGCTCGATTCTATCTGCTCTCTGGGTTGAATGTGTTTTTAATTATACCATGAAATGTTAATAAAATTTAAAAATTCTAAATGTATTGTTATTTATATATATATATATATATATATATATATATATATATGAAATATTTCTATATATATATATATATATATATATATATATATATATATATATATAGAAATATTTCAATAATATAATTGATTTTTTGAACAATTTTAAAATTAAATATAATAAACTAGTAATGCATTGTATAATTGGAAGTTTTATTCCAATTTTAAAATGCAGGACGTTTTTATTTTTTATTTTTTTTTGATGAAATACATCAACGAAACAGTTCATATTTATGTAAAGTGCACTTTGAAATGAAATCAAATAGGTACTAGGCTACTCGTATAGTTGCTATAATTGTGCATTGCACAGTGTGTACAAACAAACATAAAAGTTGTAGGTAAATACAGGTACGCATTTGATGAACATGCAAATGCTTTTTTATTTCTACAGTTTTATTTCTAATTCGGATTATTAGAACATTTCTATTATTGAGCTTTGTCGAAATTACAATGAAATTATTGTTTTGCAAATGTTTAATATTAATAACATGAATTAATTCATCATCATCATCATACCAGCCGTTAAATGTCCAGTGCTGAACATTGGCTTCCTCCTTTTGGGGGGTTTTGCCGGTAGTCGACGCATTTGGCAGGTGGATTGACAACCGCAGTTAGGCTTTGGTGATGTTTTAAGAGGGACGCTGCTGCCCATCCCTCGACCGTTAAGTTCCCTTAGTCGCCATTTACGACAACCACGGGAAATTTACAATGGTACCTCGCACTTTGGTTATATTTTGTTAATAGAGGGACTGGCTGAAAACCAGCGCTGTGCAGCTGTAAACATTGCGCTGGGACACTCACAGCATCAGCTGAGCCGGTTCCTTTTGCCTAGTATGGGACACTTTTTGTATATTTTATCTATATTTTATATTATTATTGTATGTTTACTGGCAATAAATATTTTCTATTCTATTCTAAAGTAAGGAGTAGCTCCTTTCATACCGGGACCACACAACAGATTAGGAATATATATCATTGATAACAGGTTAAAAAGGCTCATTGCTAGCAATATACCCTGTCAGGTCGATCTTCACGTGGTGGTCCTTGGAAAACTATTGTGGTGAATTCATGTCGAATTCTAACAGGCTAACTGATCCTAATCTTCATTTATCATCATTTACTAGCACCTTGCCAGTGCATGCCATTAGCGCAAAAGAAGTTATTAACCAAAAAAATCTGATGTATTTTCAATATTAACAGTATATCGTTACATACAGGAAGCTGCAATAGCCGTACAACAGCTGGCTCCCTGAGCAGCGATCCAACGACTATAACCTCGCCACGAAAGAGCACGCTCAAGGTAAAGATATCCCACAATACACCAGTACACAAATAAATCAAAAAAAATATACTGAAAATGTCTTTATAGATATAGTAGAGCAACTACGCTTTATTTATACGTATATACCTAGTATCTTAGTATTCTAATGGAGCTTAACAAAAGGGTAAATAAATGGATAATTAATCTGAACATGAGAAAGGCTGCTGATGTTCAATTGTAGTGCAAATTAAATATTAATAATAATAATTTATATGCTCGAAATGAAGTTTGTACAAATGATCTTAAATGATAACAGAGCTACAGATTTCGCCTTATCTAAAGACATGCAAAATTTTGTCTCAGCATATGTTAGTATTTTTAGTGCCTTACATTTTCAAAGTAAAAATTCATCAATTACATAAGTCCAAATAGTTATTCTAAATACAAAATAATTAGTTAATTGTAAGTGTCAACATTTAAAGATAGAACAAATCTATTTATTGATTTAATTCTAAATTCAAATTCTAATCATCTTTTTTAATGTTTCCGTTTGTGACTAATTCATTTAGCGACAAATAGTAAATACGCCATACCATCAACAAATAATACAGAAAGCAACAGTCCCTAGCGGCCGACTAACATATCAGTGGATTTTCACAGCGCAGCAGCGAGTCAGAACTAAAAGAGAGACCCAACAACGCCGCTCCGCCAAAAAAACGCGTCCAGATCCAGGAGATATCTGTGTAGAAGACTTCTAACGGGATGGGGTTTAGCCAGCAAGCTAACGAGCATTTTTAATGTTGGAACGGAAGTATTCAAATGAGTTTACTCGCGTATATTATAACTTAATACAATTACGGTTTAGTCACTTACTATTAGTGATGTGCCAAGTCGGCTTTTTTGATATTCGTGTGTTTGGATGGTTGTTGTTGTATCAGTAATCGATTGTTCGCTGTTGAATATGACCTCCCCTATAAGGGGGATTTTTCCAATAGTTGCCACGCTTTACAGACGGTTTGGCAACCGCAGTTTGGCTTTTGGTAATGTTTTAAGACCTACTGCCCATCTCTCGCCCTCCCTTAGTTGCCTCTTACGACACCCACGGGAAAGGAAGAGGTGACCCATTCTATGCCAAGATCTACGCGGCAATTTGAGTATTTGGGTAATTATCAATAAAAGAATCGAATACTGAATCAAATCCGAGAACGCAAACAAATACTCAAGTATTTGTATAGACACTCGAGTACGCTATCAAACTCGAGTAATTTTTAAATTTATTTCGCTAAAGCTTATTCTCAATAAAGCTAATAAATGTTCAATTATTTAATAATATTGTTTTTGATAATAAGGGAAGACCTATAAAACAGAATAAAAAGATTCATTAAAACAAGTACTCGAATGTATTTAAATATTATGTATCTGAAATCTCTATATTGAGTATTAGAGTAATTAAATACCTAGTAGTTATTCGAGTCAATATTCGAATCAGCCTGACTTGGCACATCACAAGTCATTAAAATTATAATAAGAACTGTGTAAATTTGAAATAACATAAACATGATAAGGAGATTTTGTTTCTTATACAATAACATCTTGATTTACTTTACAAAGACGAATTCAACTTTGGAAACGTATAAATTTGTTAAATACTGGAACTATATATTAATTTTGATCATTACAATAAGGAGTTATGCAAAAATACTATCCGAATAAATGTTGTACGAAAGTAAACTCTTTGCTGTGTGACTACGAGTCAAGAAAATGTAATACTGTACTGTAAATTTTCTATTGCATTGCATTTAAAATCGTATGATGCATCTGAAATACAGATTGCATCAAATATATAATTATTATCTATTAGGGAAGTATTGTGTGTATGTAACTACTGACCAATTAAGGAACTAGTGCCGTGTTGGCTCAGTGCGCCTGTTTCATTTCTCTGTTATCTGTTATAGTTTAACGTTAATCTGTAATTAATTGTTCATGTTGATGTTTCTGTTTATATATTCTATATATTATAGATTAATTAACATGTTTGATTCTGATTCACATGGAATGATTTAATCGAAAACAGCGCGATCAGTATTAATCACTGTAATTACATTCACATGAGCACAACCATTTTTGCTTTCTGATTAGAATTTGCTAATATTGCTAATGTTAGTTCTTTTATAATTTATTTTCGATTATTTCTTTTAATATTAATAAACAAATCTTTTAAAAGAGGCCTATCATCAATATTCTTCGAATATCTGAATGATATATTGTAAAAATTTAATTCTATCAGTTCGTTCTAGAAAATATCCACTATTTACAGCCACGCTGGTTCTATTCTATCAATTCTAGTGTGAATTAGTGTATAATATAGTAGATGAACGTTACGAGTTATTAGTTTTATTTTATTTGTAAATTTAGATTGTTTTCTATATAACTGTTTAATAAAGTCGCTGTAATAAGACCAATGTTGTATTAAATCTTTACATCTGTAATTTTCTTACGAAAATATTCAATATAAATAACTTTTTCGTTTCCGTGTTAATAATATTTTATTTATAGACGTTATAATAAATTCAACTGAAATACGATGACATCCATCAAATTTTGTATTTTATGATAAATAATTCATTGTAGAAATTTAAAAGCACGGCGCACATAATAAATTAACAAAAATAGTACACCAGAATCAAATAAAAAGGAACAAATGAAATAAAAATCAAACAAAATATTTTTATTTGAATAGACCTTTTCGAGTGCTTTTGATTCGTTAAATTCTCCTGTTCGCCCCCGTCGTGTTTGTTTTGTCGAGTATTCGCGATTTTTTTGACTGGAAATAATTTTGTTTAATATTAAATATAACGTGTATATATTGTAATCGTAATTTCCAATTCAAATATATATACATATATATATGAAATACGTCTGTACATAGCAGAAAGGTGAAGCATGTAACACCTGTTGCTGTAAATATTAGAATTTGTCGTCTTATGTGTGCGAGCTGGCCAGTCAGCCGCTGATGGGGTTTTTAAATAAAGACCATTTTTTCCTGAATAATTAATTTTATTTTTGATTGTACACTCACCATCTATTTTGACCTTAGCATCGTATTTTTTATTAAAAATACTGCAAACAATTAGTACTACTACTACCAGAGGGAGATTTTGTACAAAAGTCGATTGCTTGGGTACCTCTGGCCCATTCGTGTTTCTACCGTGAAGCAGTTGTGTTTGCATGGCTGTGTTTCGGTTAGAAGGGTGGAATATGGCGTGAATTTACAGGATACAGAGGAATAACATCTGAATCCTCAGGAATGGCAACGCATGGGCGAATTAGAATACTCTGTTATGTCCATGGCACTGCTCTTTTCTATAGGCGACGGTTACCACTTTCCATCAGGTGGACCGTCAGCTTGTTTGCCATTCTAAGTTGTATATAACAAAAAAACACTTTGTAAAGTAATAAGTCTCAATTTTTTTTACAACACGGGACAAACGAGCAGGCGACTCACCTAATGACAAGTGACTACCGCCGCCCATGATCACCCACTACACCAACAACATTGCAGGTGTACTGCCGGCCTTTTAAAAAGGAATATGCTCTTTTCTTGAAGGTTATGTTGTCGTATCGGTTCGGAAATACTGCTGCTGGAAGTCGATTCCAAAGAGTGGTTGAAATTTATCATAATAATATTATTATTCATATTTAAGGCACTCTCTTCCCCCATTATAAGTTGAAACAGCTGATATTCCATCATGTATGTCACAACATGTGCCCATGGTATTCAATCATATGCTTTGTGACAGGTTGCATCTATTCCTTGCTAATGGAGCGAACCGGAAACTTTTCCATTAGCATGTGTTGCACTAATAGTAATTGACAAGTTGCTTGCGTTATTTTTAACAGTTATTTGTACTATTGTATTGGCATTTCTAAATGCAGAGAGCTGATAGCTATAGCGGTAGCTATAGCAATGTTTAAAGATTTGTCAACAGCCGCTCAAAGGTTACAACTTGATAGAACAATGCGTCTTGAATTGTTACGAAATCATTCGGGACGTGCCAAGGCAGTGGACTACTGGTTGTTCCTTACACTGTGGGTATAGGTTTAGGACCATTGCTTGTGGCACTGTATGGTCAGTCTACATTCAATAGTATACAATGACAGGTTGAATGATAATGACGATGAACTTTTTAAAATCCAAATATGCGAGCAGTCAAGTGATGTTTATTCTAACAAGATAGATTAGAGTTTTTAAGACTATAAAATTCATCTAAGAGTGCTTAAATGAATAATCAACGACGGTGAATGTCATGAAACGATGGCAGCCATTGATGTCTGTCGAATGAAAAGAAAATGGCTAACAGGCTGACAGTCTACCTGATGGAAATTATTAATTATCATCCATGCACATGAAACACGTGGCACATGGACACCATAGAATATTATCCATGGTACCCCACATGCATTACTTTTCATAAGGATTAAGTTACACATTTGACAGTTAATTTCTATTGTAATTTTTATTTTTTATGTTACTTTTCTATACGTAATGATTAAATAAGTATTTTTTTTATACAACTTAGAATGGCAAACAAGCTGACGGCCTACCTGATGGAAAGTGGTAACCGTCGCCTATAGACATGAACAGTACCATGAACATAACAGAGTATACTGTTTCGCCCATGATACCCCCTATGCGTTGTCATTCCTGAGGACTCAGGTGTTATTCCTCTGTGCATTAAATTTACAGTAAATTTAATTGTCGCCATTTCTTTTCATTTACAAGATGTCATGAAACAAGTTAAGAAAATAAAGTAACTGGGAACCTGTGTAAGAGAAGTATTGGCCAGTCAGAGTGGTAATGTGATATTGCAGATGAAAATATGAACTTTCGACATTGATTGCACCACTTCGTGGACACGACAGGACTGAAGTGAGCAACGTCTTCATCTAGCAGCTCACGCAGTCTTCTCGAATACCCTCACACTGTCATGATTATTATCCAGAGCCACTTTACTATATCCATCTTCCCTAATGAAATTGTTTCACGTACTATCCGAAGATAATAGTGATGTTCGGTAGATAGAACCTTCGAATCATATATGAATGGACACAGTGTGAGAGTACCCGATCCACGTCGAAACGTCGGCAATAAAGCAGCCAGTAAGCTTTTTCATCGCGGTAAGTCCCGATTGTATATTAAAATCGCAAAAGTTTAAAATTAACTACTTCTGGTTAGTAAATAAGTTCATTAGAGAGATATTTTTTTTAATGGGTGATAATGGAATGGTAACCCCACCCCGGTAGCACATCGGTATACACCGACGGAGCACCAGTGAAGGATGATATGTGAGGATGAAGCAGGTCAGTTGGCCCATCGTGACAAATTCAACAAGAATTGTTCACGATGGTTTCCAGTGGAAACCACGTGGAGGTCGACCTAATAGGGCATATTGCTAGCAATGGGGCTGTCAAACTCCATTGCTAACAGAGAGAAGAGAAGAGATATTAAATTTACAAAGTTTCCGGTTCGATGCTCAAAATAATATCTCAATGTTGCATTATTTGAGGCATATAGTCTTGAGGGTATTTATTTTATTTATTGGTGAATAAGAAAGTGGCAAATAAATTTTACGCTCCCAAGAGAAATAGCGCAAATGTGTATAGTTAATACCTACACCTACGTATTATGCTACAATATTTCATCAAATTACATTGAAAGGCTTTTACGCTGTACGTGTTCCCACACCCACTCGAAGATAAACACGTTGATTTTTAAAAGTACTGTACCGCAGCGCAAGATACATTACTCGACTCTCATCATAGAGGATCATTATACATTATGATACGTATCTGGATCGCAGCAGCTCTCATAGTCTACCTCGACACTTCGCGTTCCACAACACGCTGTGCCTTCCGCGCAAACTCCAGATATTTCATAAGAAAAAGTTTTAATGTCTCCCGTAACGTGCCCGGAAGTTCAGAATTAACTATTCTGGCGAGCTCCCCTCTCCCGTCGCCGACAAAATTATACTGATCTTTATTGTTCCATATTTTTTAAGGAATATTTCGAAAGCCCCGCACCGGCCTGCCTCTTTGTTATCTTTAATTCTTCAACTTTTTCCACGACGCTCGAGTTTTTGAAAGATAAAGTATCCTTTAAGGTTTTGATAAATCGCCCGGAGCCGGCTGAAGGAATTGGGTCACGGGTATTTTTAACTAAATATACAAACAATGCAGTACCCCGGTGCTGATAACAAAAGGTATTAAACAATTTGATCGCTCGCCAGCTGCGGAGCAACAATCGGGCCGCGTCTGCGAACAAAGAAGTGAGAAGGAAATCGCCGATGCCGCGGCGATGAAGTAGGACAATTCGCATTGAATATTCCTTCCAGGCGTTTTATTGTACGTCTAAAGGTCTAAATGAGAGCGCGGTTAATTTATGATCGGGCTATGAATAGTGAGGCGGGGTTAGGAGGTGAGCGAGGGTGGGGCGGAGGCGAGCATCATCAATCAGGGCTGCGGCGCATTCAGACTCTGCGGCTGCCAGCGGTGGTGTGCGGTGTCCCTTCTCATGGAAATGAGAAATTGAGCGTGCTACTAGCGCTGCGTGCCGGCCCACTCGCCTTGCCACACCACTGCACGGCTTATAACACACGCTTCATAGCACACCTTAAGGAACTGCAGATTACTCGAGAATGTTATGCATTTAGCATACGCTAAGCTATATGGTTTAGTACGTAAGCTGGCAAGTAGGTGAAAGTTTGACTCGCTCCTTGAATTATAAATTATAGAGTTATTTTATGATTCATCCTATAGTTAAGACATTCAGTTCCTTTTCCATTTTTTTTTTCATTAAATGAATGTATGAATTTTATCGCTAAAATATTTGTTCTTTATCTATCAAATAATAGTTCGAATTTATAAAAGAATGTAACTAATTTCTTTAAAAAAAGATTAATAGCTTTTTATACAACTTAGAATGGCAAACAAGCTGATGGCCCACCTGATGAAAAGTGGTAACCGTCGCCTATAGACATGAGCAGTACCATGGTCATAACAGAGTTTGTTTGAGAGAGGTCATAACTGTTTCGCCCATGATACCCCCCATGCGTTGCCATTCCTGAGGACTCAGGTGTTATTCCTCTGTACCCAGTAATTTCACGCCATATCCCACCCTACAAACCGAAACACAGCCACGCAAATATAACTGCTTTACGGTAGAAACACGATTGGGTCAGAGGTACCCAATCAATCGACTTTTGTACAAAGTCTCCCTTAAGAGATCCGTATATTTTCTAAACAAAATTAAAATTTGTAATAGCTACTGATGATTAAGAATCCCTGATGGTGGTGAGATTAGTTGAAACATCTCGATTAAAATATACATACCATAAATTAATATGGAAGTCGATGATACGATTGTCATAAATAAAGGTGAAGTCTCTTTTACGAATCTTATGTCCCTGATGAAGAAATGAGACAACATCATCATCAGTTTTAATAATAAAAACGATATATTTTTAATAAAATTTGGCCTATATGTACACAATTTTAAACATGCAACCCTAGCAAAGATAACTTGATTAAATATTAGAAATATCAATAACATAATTGACTTATAATACCACGGAACTAATATATATATGGCAATATTAATAATATAATAATAAAGCCTTTATTCTCTGACCACATTTTTACTTTAACTTACATATTTATTTATTTAACTCTTTATTGCACCATAAATAAAAATATACAATGACAAGTGAATAATTCAAATCAAATACAGTAACATAAATACAGATTGAAATATACACATAAAGGTACAAAAGGCGGTCTTATCGCTAGGGCAATCTCTTACAGACAACCTTTAGTTACTACTTATTACTAAGGTAGCTTTCTAGCAACCATTATGTTGGTCAGGTTGTCTGTCGACATAGGCCATATGGCATATTATATATGGCAATATTATAATATTGCCAATCCACTAGAATAGTTAGTGATACATATTAATTTGATTTCACTAAATCTAGATTAACACAGGAC